GCCCACCCTCAGGGCACAAGGATCCCTATACCACTACCCAAAGGTCCCTTCCCTCCCATCCCCCTTATCACCAGTTATTTAATGGCATCTTGAGGTAGTTTCCATTGGGGACTGTCTAATCCCTTTTTATTCTTTGTCTTATAGAACTTTTAAAAAATATATTCATAAAATTTATCTACTAAAAAGTGACATGGAAACTTTTCATGTAAGATATTTTAAGATTTTTTTTAAAAATTTTATTAGTGAAACACCATGAGGTACAGTTGTAGACTTACAAATTTTTGTGCATGGGTTTCAGTTAGACAATGATTGAGTACCCATCCCTCCACCAGTGCTCATTTTCCACCACCACGGATCCCAGTAACCCTCCCACCCACCATCCCCCCCATCCCACCCTGCCTCTGTGGCAGGGCATTCCCTTTTGTTCTCTCTCTCATTTTGGGTGCTGTGTTTTGCAAAAGAGGCATCGAGTGGCAATCATAGTTCGGTCTATAATCTACTTTCAGCATGCATCTCCCATCCTGGGCGGGTCCTCCCAACACTCTTTATTTGGTGTTCCCTTCTCTATCTCAGCTGCCTTTTTCCCTAGCATGTGTGGCTGGCCTCCAAGCCATGGAGTAAACCTCCTGATACTTATCTCGGCTATTCTTGGGTGTTATTTTGTTACTTCATTTTGTTATTTTGTTACTCCTATTTTGTTACTTCATGTTCCCCAGATGATTGCAATCTTTCTATGTCTGTCCCTCTTTCTGACTCATTTCACGTAGCATGATACCCCCTGGCGCCGTGTAATCCCATAAACGGCCAAGACTCAGAGACTATAAAATCCAGCTCCCGGAACCGCGCGGTTGCATTCGCGGGCATGCGACATCTTATCAGGACATCTTTTTATGACATCTTATTATCTCATTCCTACTTTGGACAAACTTGCAGGCTATCGAATGTAGCCTGCCCACAGGGCAGAGTCTGGCAAACTCCCCGTGGCATACCAAATATGCCAAATACCAGTAACAATGATGGGTCTCATTCTCCTAAAGAGCCTTGAATATAATCTCAGGGCTAGGATGAAAGAGACGGTACTGGGGCCTGCTCGAGGCAATCGACAAATAACAGGATGGTGAATGAATGAATGAGTGAATGAATGATACCTTCCATGTAGTACCACTTGTATGTAAATTTCATGACTTCATCTTTTCTAACAGCTACATAGTACTCCATTGTGTAGATGTACCAAGTTTCTTTAACCAGTCATCTGTTCTCAGGCACTCAGGTTTTTTCCAGATTCTGGCTATTGTAAAGAGTGCTGCAATGAACAAACAAGTACAGATGTCATTTCAACTATACCTTTTTGCCTCTCTGAGATATATTCCCAGGAGTGGTATTGCTGGGTCAAATGGGAGCTCAATTTATAATTTTTTGAGAATCGTCCATAAAGTTTTCCAAAAGGGCTGAACCAGTCGGGATTCCCACCAGCAATGAAAAACCTTTCTCACCACATCCTCACCGATACCGGTTGCTTTCATTCTTTTGGATGTGGGCCACATCTGTGGTGTGAGATGATATCTCATTGTTTTTTGATCTGCATCTCCCTGATGATTAATGATGTAGAGCATTTTCTCATGTGCCTTTTAGTCATTCGGATTCTTCTTTGAGAAAGTTTCTGTTCATTTTGTTGCCCAATTTTTTGATGGGGTTGGATGTTTTCTTCTTATGGAGTTAAACCAGTACTTTGTATTTGAGATATTTTAAGATCTTTTACCGAAATTTGATTCTTTGTTTTGGAGTCAGTGATGCTCAGAGATAATTTTTGACAGTGCTCGAGGAACTATATGTTGCTTTGGATATTTGAATCAGGGTTGGCCTGAACTCCTGAACTCTCTTGCACCAAAACTTTGTATTTTTGAGTTTGTATACACTTATTTCAGTTTCACGCACTAGGTATATGAATTATTCAAAGTCACTCTACTATACTGACATACTCAATTATTGCCATAATGTGCTTTAAATGTAGCTCTTTAGAGAATAAAACAATATTTACAAAAAAATTCTATGCTCTCTTGGTTGTAATTAAAATACACGAATATAGGGCCAGAGAGATAGTACTTCTCTTGCATGTGGCCAACTCTGGTTCAAATCCCCAGCACAGCATATGAATTTCCAACCATGACAAGGAGCAATCCCTGAGCACAGAGCTCGGAGTAAGCCCTGACTACTGCTGGGTGTGGCACCCCAATACAAACTAATACTTTGACATAGAGCAATAATACATTATCAGAGATATAAGCACTAAAGGAACTCTACTCAGAAAGCTCTGAGACAAGATCAAGGGCTACCTCATGGGGAAAGGGAGAAGGGGGTTCTCTTGGAACTGAATAGCAGGTAAAACCCACTTTAAAATGGAGACTTTACATGAGCACCAATGACAGGGCACAGATATGAGTAATAGAAAATACTGAGGTTTTCAACAGCAACAAGGAGATTGCAGAAGAATTTTTACATGAAAAAGAAAGGGAAAGTAGAAGCTGAGTTCCATTTTGAGTGCATTGAGACACCTTGGAAACACCAAAGAGCAGGAAACAGTAGTCTAGTAAGCCGGTAAGGAGCAGCATTCATTATTATAAATGGATGGACATGTAGAGTTTCATGCTAAGTGAAATGAGTCAGAAAGAGAAGGACATAGAAGGACTGCACTCATTTGTGGAACATAAAATAACATATTATAAAACAAACACCCAAGGACAATGGAGACAAGGCCAAGGAAATTGTTCCATGGTTTGGAAGCCTGCCTCATTTGCTGGGGGAGAAGGCAGTTGGGATAGAGAAGGGACAACTAAGTCACTTGTCAACAGATGACAACTAAGTCGTCCCGAGGGATGGCTTGGGATGGGAGTGGTGTGCTGAAAGTAGACACAGGACCAAACATGATGGCCTCTCAGTATCTATTTTGCAAACCATGGTGCCCAAAAGTAGAAAGAAGGAATGTGCCTGCCACAGAGGCAGGGGGTGGGGTGGAGTGGGTATGGCAGGTAGGGTAATAGGGACGTTGGTGATGGAAAATGCACACTGGTGGAGGGATGGGTGCTCGATCACTGTGTGACTGAAACTCAATAATGAAAGCTTTGTAACTGTATCTCACAGTGATTAAACTTTAAAAAATCCCTTTTCTAGGACTTTGTTTTCTGGAATAAAATACATAAACTGGTAGTTTTTTAAAAAGAAGCAGCATTCTATAAGGAAGGAGGGAAAGCAATGGAATGTGTCCTTAAATATGCGAGAGAGGGGCTAGAGAGATCAGCTCAGTGGTAGAGTATTTACTGTGCACCACAACTGTGTGGTCCCAGACATTGCAAGGCAAGGGACCACACCAAATGCAAGAGGAAATTCTACACTCCCAGGGCACGTTATATTGCAACGCCAGTTTCATTTAATGTAGGACATTATGCAGTATCTGCAACTCAGAATTCAGTTCCGTGAAAGAAGGAACTGCATTTTTAGTGTTTTAATGTTCTAAACCCTGGGGGAAGAGGGTAGTGGGTCAAAAATGGTTAGTTTTGAAATGGCTAGTGGTTCTAAAGTACCAGAAGCAAGAATGGAGGAGGAGAAGGAAAAGGCAGAGGAGGAGGAGGAGGAGGAGGAGGAGGAGGAGGAGGAGGAGGAGGAGGAGGAGGAGGGAAGAAAGGGGAAAGGAGGAGAAAGAGGAGGAGAAGGAAGAAGAGGAAGAGGAGAAAGGAGGAGGTGGAGGAGGAAGAGAAAACAGGATTTCTCCCCTATTTTCAGGCTCCAGGATCTATTAAGCCATGGATAAAAGCATTTACAACTAAGAACCCAACATATTTCAGATCTACATTCTGCTTGAAAACTGCTTCCAGGGGAGAAAAGCTTTTAAATAATTGAATGCACAATCAGCTTAATCAATGGCTGAATAAATAGCAGTACTCCTACATTAAAAAAAAAAAAAGAATTGAATGCAACCTATCTCCTAAGCAGTTGGTGAATGGCCCCTTGAAAGTGAATATATAAGGTATCTACCTTCCTCCACCCCTCTCGGAGAGCCCGGCAAGCTACCGAGAGTATTCGATATGCCAGACACAGTAACAACAAAGTCTCCAATGGAGATGTTACTGGGCCCGCTCGAGCAAATCGACGATCAACGGGAGGGCCTTTACCTTTACCTTTACCTCACCACCAAGATGTAACACAAACTCATCTCCATCTGGAATCTCTGGTTGACATTAATGTGGAATATAATCATTCTGGTTACTTTGGGAGAAGCAATTTTTAGGAAAAGTTGCTCACATTTTCTTCACTTTACTAGTTAATTTTCCTAACCGGTGGACTTGGGTCACACCCAGTGGTGCTCAGGGCTCACTTCTGGCTCTGCGCTCAGAGATCGCTCCTGGTGGGCTTGGGATGCTGCGGACAGAATCCCGGCTGGTCACGTGCAAGTAAAAAGCCCTACCCACTATACTATCTCCTGGGACCTCATACTTCCCCTTCACAGGCGAAAAGCCCTGTCCCAACCGGCGACAGAATTTGTCCAAACTCATATCCTTCTAACTTCCAAATACTATGCTTCTCATACCGCAGGGCAGTGAGATCGCAATGCTGATTTTGCAAAGTGCAACAGAGGAAACTGTAAGTGAATCTCCACTCTCAGCAAACAGGGGGCAGCACAACCCGATTTGAAAGTCCTACGAGAACTTGAGCAGCTTTCCACCCACGACTGAATTAATTCCGTCGCTACAGAGAAATCCTTCTCCGGATTCTGGAAGAAGCCTCCTACCTCGAGCCGCAGTACCCACCTTGGGCGGGGCGCGCCCACAACAAAGATGGCGGCAGCGGCTTCCAAGCGGGAAAGGGCGACTTCGCGCCAGTTCCGGCCTGTCCCTTTGACGTCACTTCCGGGCGCGACACTGCCGCGAGCATCTGAAACCCTGGAAACACCGGCAGCGGCCGTGGACGCCGAGGTGTGTGTGTAGGGGGCTTTCCGCGCAGGGTCCGAGAGAATGTGGGGGCCAGCGGCATGGACCCGGACGATGGCAAGTCCGCGGCTATTGCCGCAGTCGTGACTGAGCCTCGCTTCGCCCAGAGGTACCGGGATTACCTGGGGAAGCAGAAGCTCGTGGACACGCAGCACCGCGTGCAGAAGCTGCCGGACGGCACCGTGGCGCTGCCGGTGCTGCAGGAGAGCCTCACGGAGCTGCACCTGCAGCAGCTGCGGGAGACCGTGGCCCCGGGCAGCACCTGTGTGCTCACGCAGCTCCGGGGGGCTCTGCCTTCCAAGGCCTCCCGGGGTTGTTCGCCCGCCCAGAGGCTGTGCCGCGAGGTGAGTGCCTGGGTGGAGGGCCGCGGAGTGACCTGGTCGGCTGAGCTGCAGACCGATCTGCCCCGGTCTTGGCAGAGGCACGGGGACCTCCTGTTGCTGAGTGAGGACTGTTTCCAAGCCGAGGCGTGGAAAGAGCTGACGCCGGAACTCTGGGAGACCGTGGCCTCGGCTCTGGGCGTGCAGCGCTTGGCCAAACGAGGGCGGGTGGCTCCGGATGGCACTCGGACCCCGGCGGTGACGCTCCTGCGGGGCGAGCATGGCTGGGTGGAGCATGTGGACAATGGGATCCGGTACACGTTCGACGTGACTCAGTGCATGTTCTCCTTCGGGAACATCACGGAGAAGCTCCGCGTGGCCTCGCTGCCCTGTGCTGGCCAAGTGCTGGTGGATCTTTACGCCGGGATCGGTTATTTTACGTTGCCCTTCCTGGTGCATGCTGGTGCCTCCTTCGTCCATGCCTGTGAGTGGAACCCCCATGCCGTGGCTGCGCTGAGACGTAATCTGGAGCTTAATGGGGTAGCAGATCGGTGCCAGATTCACTTTGGGGATAATAGGAAGTTGAAGCTCTCAGACATTGCTGACAGGGTAATCCTGGGACTGATCCCCAGCTCTGAAGACGGCTGGCCCATTGCCTGCCAAGTGCTGAGACAGGACTCCGGGGGCATTTTGCACATTCACCAAAATGTGGAATCTTTCCCAGGGAAAACCCCCCAGACTCCTAGAAACGGGGACGTGGAAGAGGTGGAGCATTGGCATTCTTCTCAGGAAATCACCAAGCAGTGGGAAAGTGGAGATACCAGGAACTCAAGAAAAGTAGTGTCAGCAGCTCCCAAGCCAGAATGGCAGAGGTGGGCACGAACTGCAGAAACTCGCATTGCCGGTCTTCTCCAGCAGCTGCATGGGAAGCCGTGGAGGACCCGAATCCTGCACATTCAGCCCGTGAAATCCTATGCGCCCCATGTAGACCACATAGTCCTGGATCTGGAGTGCCGCCCCTGCCCTCTAGTTGACTAAAGAAGGTGGATCCTGAGACATGCCGCTCAACTCGAGGTGTGAGTGACTTTGGTACATCAGCTTAGTCAGTTTCTCACATCTCTAATATCATACTTGTCTTAGTATTTTGTGGCTTCAAGAACCAGCTTTAGTTCAGTCCAGATCACTGAATGTCTTTCGTTCAAATAAACACAACAAAGATGAGCTATATGTCAGGGAGAAGCAGTCATGCATTCTGACCACAATTCTCTCTAACCTTGGGTACAGAATTTCAGTATTATTTTTTTCCTTATATTTCTCTCATTGCAAAATAAGGGCTTCTTGGGGGTGGAGAGATAGTACACTGGATAGGGCACTTGCCTTGCATGCAGCTGACACAGGTTTGACAGCCCTCATGGTCCCCTGAGCACCACCAGTAGTAACCCCTGAGCATCACTGGGTGTGGCCCAAATAAGGTTTTCTTTGAATTGTCTCCTATGGGGCACTGGTCATTTTTAGAGCAAAAGAACAGTACCATTTCCAGAATCAGTTCTCTCCAGCTTCACTATGGAAAATCAGACTGAGGTGGTCCATGATGGAAGTGGGGAGGTTGGTAGAGTCTTCTGAAGTGTTCAGACATGAGATGATGGTTGAACTAGAGTGGTGGCCGTGGGAAAGAGGTGGGTTTGAAAAAACTGATGGGACCAAGATTTAGAGTCCTATGGTTCTCTTTTATTATGTATAAATTTGGGCAGGAAGGGAATAAAAATTAAATCAGCTAACTCTCCTTTAGCATTTATGAGTTGGAAGAATGTCATATAGTTTTTTTATGATAAACAAGAGCTAGGATAGTTGCTTGAAATTTGCCAGAAGCTTCTGTTTCTGCAGTAACTAGCAATTACTATTTTCAAAGTTTAAATTAAAACCATGGATTTCTAGGGGCCAGAGAGATCGTAGGTATGGATGGCACTTGTTGTGCATGTGACTGACCCAGGTTTGATTCCCAGCACCTCATATATGGCCTCCCAAACTCTAGGAATGATCCCCGAGCACAGAGTCAAGTAAGCCCTGAGTACTCCTGAATGTGGCCCATAATGAACACCCACCATCCCCCGTGATTTCTGCAGGCTGTCCCTTTGGTTTTCCTACCCTAGCTAGCAAAAACAGGGCTAACAAGGAGCTAAAGGGGATGAGAGTGCAACTTGTCAAGCCTCACCTTGTTTTATGGCTGTCTGCCATCACCATTGTTTTCCACTGGAGTGAACAGTAATTACACTTCATTTAACCTTTAGTATGACTAAGTGCTATCTGGGTTTCTGTGTTTATTGAAGGAAATGTAGAAAGTCTTGATCAGGATTTTTATTGTATGGTATTTGGCTGCTTGCACTCTACCTAGAAGTGGCAATAAGGATAGGAATGGTGCTGTTTGTGTTATTCCACAAATAAGTCCTACCAAATAAATGAGCCACAGGAAATTTGAGGTTTCCTTAGCTATAGTCCTTTCTCTCCAAGGATCTTACACCGTACAGCTGAAGTAACACAGTATGAAAAAAATTGGAATACAGTTACGTGCCATATGATGAGAGCATCTGGAGTGCAGGGCTGGAAAGAAAAGTTCTGAAAATGCATAGGGATATCTTTTAAGTAGCTCTTTAAAACTGAGAAAGATTGTGGGGAGTGGAGTCATAGCGGAAACAGGTGCAAACATTTGGCTGGGGCAGAGGAAGCAGTGGGAGACTGATGGAGTTGGTGTTTAAGGATTACAGTCAACAGTCTCGGATAACACTGAGCTCGCAGGAAGTGTCTGCTGTCGTGCCCACCACAGAGAAGCCCTGTTGCCACTCTCATCCCACATAATAACCTTCCTGGGTTTGCCTTAGTCATCCCCTTTCATATACTGGGTTTCTTCTCATGTGTGTGCCTATGGCGTTCTCTCTCAAATAAAAGTGCCAGGCCAAGCGGGGCTTGAGACCAAATTTGAGGAAGAAGGAGAAATAATGAAGACGATGGCTCAGAGAGGCGCCTGACTAGGGATGAAGGAGTTACCGTCCTGCCATAAACCTGGGTAGGCAGAACTGGTGGGTGTGCCCAACATAAATTTATCCAACTGGTTACAGCTATCAGGTTGTGAGTGTTTACTGGTGGAAGAAGGTTGACGTGGGCACCGACTAGAACCTTAGAACTTAGGTTCCATTCATTCAGCTCCTGGCTCTCCTTTTAGTGTGATCTGAGGCAAGTTGTGAAACTCAGGTTAACTCTCCTCATTTGTACATTGGAATTAATAGTTGTACATACCCTGAAAGGTGACTTACGCCTAAATGAGTTGACACACGTTAGTGACGTCACGACATTGAGAATAGTGTATACAGTCACTATTTGTATCACAGTGAACTGCCATTCTCCAGTTTGATGGTGAGGAATTGCTATCATTTGGTTTCCCTAAAACAGCATGCTCTTATTTTAAAAAATCATGAATTGGGGCCAGAGTGATAGTATAATGGAGAGGGCGCTTGCCTTGCATGTGGGTTTCCCAGATTTGATCCCTAGCATCCCATATGATCCGCTAAGCCCACCAGGAATGATAACTGAGTGTCATCGGTTGTGGCCCAAAACAAGTCCTGAATTAGAATGTACTTTTCCCATCAGGCACTGCTGAGAATCAGGTATCTAGTAAAGCTGAGTCAGTCCCAGTGGGCTGGCCAGACTGGAGACATGGCTTTATAGTAATTAGTATTAGCGTTGAGATAGAAACAGCTGCAAGCATTAGCATTAAATGGGATAGAACTATGTACTGGGGGAGGTGATGATGGTGACTGGGAAGAGAAGGTTGTAAGTGGTTGAGCAGGAGTACATGTGAATGGAAAAAAACGGGTCTGTCTCTTGCCTTTATGTTACAGGCTGAATTTTCACTGAGCACTTGATGGACTGGCCTGGTCTGCAAGAGCCATAATGGAACCAAGGGAAAGAGAACAAAGGGATCAGGAGACTCTGGACTCCTTGTCACCTCAATCTAAGAATTGGGAATGTAAAAACTATGATGGCCTCCTTTACAAGCTTCAGCCCTGGTTGCCAGTTAACCCCATCTGATGGTGATGTGATTAAAAAACAATATTTTTATTAAATTTTCCTCAACTGTGAGCTGTTCTATTAACTCAACACATTCAGTTATAGGTATTATTGAGTATAATGTATTCAACAGTTCCATTTTTAATACACAAACACCAAAACTTAATGAGAAACAAAAGTGGTAAGAAAACGCTATAAATTCACTATCTCCTACTCTGAACACAGCATGTAAAAAACCCACTCCAATCAGCCTCAGAGTACAACCATTTCACAATGGTAAACCACTAGTTATTTTCTACCGAGTTATTATAAATGATTACCATTATTTAAATGCATCCCCCTCCCCAATTGTAACAAAAATCTTCCTAGACCACAGTTGGTAATAGGTTGTAAAGTAGTGCATTCCCTTTGGAAAATAAGCAGTCCCCCAGTTTCTTCATGATTTGACAGTTCCACTCCTGTGTATATCTATATACCCAGGAAGCATATGTCCACACAAAAAGTTACACATGAACTTGTATAGCAGTGCCATCTGTAATAACCAAAGAGGAAATATCTTTAAAGTCTTCCAGTTATTGAATAAACAAAATGGATAGTCATACAATAGAACCTATAAAGGAGAAATGGGTTTATATAAGTGATATATTTTTGTATAATTTCATTTAATGAAACTCACAGAGAAGTTCCCTTGTTGTATGATTTTATTTCTCTGAAAAGGCCAGAGAGGCAAATTGACAGAATGTAGGCAAACAGAGGAGAAATAGGGAGTAGCTGCTAATGGGACTGAGTTTCTTTTTGAGATGATGAAAATGTCCTGAAATTATTGGTGGTGATTGCATCACTCCATTAGTGTACTGGAGACTGTTTAATTGGGCCGGAGAGATAGTTTCAATGGCTGACACATACTTTGTATATGGGAGGCACAGGTTTGAGCCCTGGCACTACATGGTCCCACACCAGAAGAGGCCACAAGCAGTGCCAAGTGTGACCCAAATCCCCTCCCCGGAAAATCCCCAGACCCCTAATTATATACCTTGCAAGTACTAGTAAATTATATCTTAGTAAAAAAAATTGGGGGGTACACCCAGTGATGCTCAGGGGTTACTCCTGGCATGCACTCAGGAATCACTCCTGGCAGTGCTCAGGGGACCATATGTGATGCCAAGGGTCAAATCCAGGTGGGTTGTGGGCAGGACAAGTGTCTTGCCTACCATACTATCTCTCCGGGGCACTTAACAGAATTTCTTTTTAAAAAATTTGTGAAGAGAAGACAAAGGCAAATCAGAGCTGGCCCCCATTTACTACTGGGCCAAAGCATCTAACCAACAGACCCCACCTCCCACTTCCAGAACTGATGAGTGTGCCCCCTTACCTGAAAAAATGATAGGAGTGGGACTGACAAGATAGTACAGCGGGTAAGGCACTTGCCTTGCATGGAGCCAGCCCTGGTTTGATCCCTGGAACCCCATGTGGTCCCCATATGGTCCTCTGCACTAAGAACAATCCCTGAGTGCAGAGCCAAGTTAGTAAGCCTTCAGCAATGCTGGGTGTGCCCCGCTCCCCGCAAAAAAAAAAAAGGGCCTCAAAAATGATAGGGCTCAAAAAATGTACAAGGTGTAAAGCTATATATATATATCTTGTTATCTTGCTGACCCTGGTTCAAATTCCTGGCATTGCATATGGTCTTCGAAACACCACCTAGGGGCACTCCTGGCTAGTCCGAAAGTAGTGAGTGGTTGCAAGGTCAACCTAAAGTCAACCTGAGCATAGAACCAGGAATAATTTCAGTGCACAACTAGTGTAGTCCCCAATTCAAAAGGAAAAACAAGAAAAAGATAATAAGGGGCCAGGGATATAGCTCAGTGATACAGCACTCATTTTACATGTGAGGTTCTGGGTTCAATCCCTGACACTGCAAAAGAATTTTAAAAATCTCTTAAAATACGTAAGTCTTCGGGATTGAAGAGGTAGTACAGTAGGTAAGGCACTTGCCCTATCCTGTACATGGTCAATAAGGGTTTGATCCCTGGTACCCTATATGATTTGCTCGAGCGGGCCCAGTAACGTCTCCATCGGAGACCTTGTTACTGTGTTTGGCATATCGAATACATCACGGGTGGCTTGCCAGGCTCTGCCGTGCGGGCGAGATACTCTCGGTAGCTTGCCAGGCTCTCCGAGAGGGGCGGAGGAATCGAACTCGGGTCGGCCATGTTGGCTGCGTGCAAGGCAAACCCGCTGTGCTACCCTATATGATCCCCAAGCCCCAACAGGAGTGATCCCTGGGCACAAAGCTAGGAATAAGAATAAGCCCTCGGCACAGCCAGGTGTGTTCCCAAAATAAACTGATGTGTTTGGGGACTGTAGAAGTTAGCATGTACATGTAATTCAGAGTCAAAAGTTTTTGCATCTATGAGGAAAGGACAGCCCAAAATGACTAGAATCAGGATATAGTCCGCCGTTGCATTAAAGTGTACTGCTTCTTCCTTCATATTTGGCAGAACCCCCAGTGAAATCATCTGGGTCTGGGTTTCCTTTGTGGTAAATCTTGTAGCTAATTCCATTCCTTTAATAAAGGATATTCAATTTATTTTTTGAATGAGCATTAGTCATTTGTTCTTTTTAAGTAACTTACCAATTTCAACTAACTTGCCAAATATATTGTTATCCTTTAATAACTAAAATGTATAGTATGATTACCTGATTACTTAGTGATATTTTCTATTTCTTTTTTGGATCGGTCTCTCTAGAGATTTCTTTATAAACTTATGTCTCATACACTTAGCTTTTGGTTGTGTTGATTTCCTTGATTTCGATTTCTCTCATTTTATTCCTGTTTCAGATCTAATTTCTCTTTTATGAGAACAATCTGAAATTACTGACTTTAATATGGGCATCCAAGGGAGAAGAAATAGTCTAGGGGTTAAGGCACTTACCTTGTATACCACCAAACCCAGTCTGATCCCCGGCACCATATATAGTCTTGGGAGCACCGAGAGCACAGTCAGAAATAAGCTGTGGTACCCTGATGTGGCCCAAAGACCTTCCTCCCATCCCACCCCGAATATATATGTATCCACTGCTATGAGTTTCTCTAGAGTGATATCCTCTGTTTTGGTTGTGTGGTGGTAACCAGAAGCCTGAACAGGATCCCATGCAGAGTGAAGGGTCCAAAACTTTCCATCTGTCAGACATCACAGTCATTTTAGTCATCTTCCCTGGGCTCTCTCCCTACATAGACAATTTTAACTTTGTATTACTTGTACTTCTGTATTTTTAAGCATTATCTTGGCTTTCTGATAATTTTTTAAAAATTTGAGTTTGGGGCCACACCCAGCAATGCCCAGGGCTTACTCCCGGCTCTGCACTCAGGAATTACTCCTAGTGGTGCTCAGGGGTCATATGGGATGCCGGGGATTGAACCCAGATCTGCCTGCCGCCTGCAAGTCAAGCGCCCTCCCCACACTACCATCTCTCTGACTCAGCCCTCACGATCATTTGGGATCGTTACCCAAGATCATTATAATAGCTGAATTTATCACTGATTTATATTCTAATATAAACTTAAGTACTACTGAATGTCACATAATAAAAAAAAAACCCTACAGTATTTTCATAGTACTTATGAGACATAAATGGAGTCATTGGATGCTGTGTATAATAATACTGGGTTCCAGCTGAGAGTATTTCTCCTAAAATGTACTCTAAACACTTAAAATATACTGTCTTAACTGGTGGAATAAGCATGAGAAATTAGTTCCAGAGGACCAGATTACAGGCTCTGGAGTCCAAACTGAGCTAGAAATGTGGTTCTCTGTCTTTTGGCTCTACTACTATGTCCTTGGACAAGTCTGCTGAGGAGTAAATCTGATACGCATGCTGTATATTTTGTACATTTAATCTGGTAATATTGACCTTTCATTTTCTTAGACAAGGAGACTGAAGATTGGCGTGTTTGAGCAGCTTGTCTAGGGACAGAGAACTATTAAGCAGAAGAAGCAAACTAGCTGCCTGCAATAGGTAGAGTACACTCAGGAAATGTCTGTTGAGTAAGTGAATGAACTGCTAAATCTATGTGCAATAGTGATTTCAAATGCCACTGCCGTTTCCTTTGTTAACTAAACAAATACAGACTCTTCATAATCATTTGGCATTTACAAAATGATAAAGTTCAAACAGCTGACCTTTTGATGGGCATATCTGAAATTTGCTTAAATGAGATAAACTATAATACTTTGGGAGCAGAAATTGCATAAGTCCCAAGATATGTAATAAAATTATGTGTTTATGATCCTTTAGCTCTCAATTCCTACCCTTCCTACCAGCACCTCCATCTCCCATTAGAAAAAAAAAAATAGAAGATTTGTTAGTGGATAATTTGTAAGAGCTTCCTTACATTAAGGAGGCAGGATGCACCTGCCCTCTGGTATAGTCAGGGTAGAGATGAATGGTTCAATACATTCCATCAATTGCATGGTCACTCTTGCGCTTCAAATCTGACGAACAATGAAATCAACCATCTAATGAGTTCCCTTTTCGCTTAAAACAGGCCATCATGTGCTTCTGCTGCTTGAAACAAAAGACTTAGCGACTGCAAAAGTTGAGAGAAAACTCAAAACAACTTTGCGTGCATCCTGGAGCTTGCCTTTGAATATTAACACATTGACACCACCGCTGCAATTTGTACTAATTAAATCACATTCCAGTGTGACTCACTGATGGTGCATGTCAATGTCAACATGTTAAAGACAAATGAGATTTATTTTAACCAGATGATTTATGTTTATGTGTCTCTGTGAACACACACTATTTTGGGTAGAGTAAATATAAATGTAACCTGAGTTGTGCAATATTCAAATCAATGTGGAATACAAGCAAAGATTAAATAAGTAAACTACAACAAATCTCTTTGAAAGCTTTCATCTTAAATTTCCTGAGTATTCTAAAAATTACTTAATACAAATCAAGTTTTAAGGTAGTATTTCAAAATACATGCCAAGATTTTATTCAGGTATTCATTACAGATGGGAAAAGAAAGACTTGGAGTGTAAGAATGACTCTACCAGGAGCTGGAAAGATGGTACAATGACAGTGCTTTCTCGTTCCTTGCATGCAGCTGCCCTGGGTTTGATCCCTCTCATCCTATATGGTCCCCCAAACCTTCCAGGAGTAATCCCTGAGTGCAGAGCCAGGAATAAGTCCTGTACGTTGCTGGGTATAGCCCCGAAACAAAAATAAAAAAAGAATGATTGTACCAGGACTCCTGAATGTTCTTGGCCTAAGAGGTCCCAGCAGTGACAACAGAAAAAAAAGTTAGCTTATTTATATTAGAAATTCTTACACTAATAAAATTTGTATCAAATATTCAGAAAAGTTAATGACAAACATTTTTAAGCGCCTTTAAATAAATTTCAAAATGTCACATTTTTTTAAAAATTAAAGCAGGAAGAAACTATTTTATTCTCCATTCTGCATGCCCATAGTATGACACTGCCTCTGTCTCCTCTACCACATTCCTACCTTAGATTAGTCCTGGGGGAGTCCATTTCTCCCTAATAGGTTCTTAGTTTTCTTTCCTTTGAGAATTTAGTCAAAACCACAGGTTATTCCCCTGATAGGCAGTTTAGGAAGATTAGTCTGGCAGAAGTAAACACTCTGTGTTGAAAAAGTGGAAGCTCTGAGGAGGGCATGCAAATGAGACAGGCAAGTTGAGGTAAGGGTCTTTAGATAGGAAGAGAAGAACACAGAAAGGCCACGCGGAGGAGAGACCGGTAGAGAAAGGATGGATATATTTAGTTGTGCATGAAAAGAGAAGTGAACAAAGATTTGATTTCCTGAATTTTAGTTAGGCTTATGTTTAGGTTCTGGATTTGACTTTTAGCTCTGTGCCTACCGCAAGTCCTCAACATTTTGTTCAAAATCATGACGGTGCTGATGAGAAAGACACAGTCCTAGAGGATCTGTTTTTGTTTCATTAAAGCATTTCACCAAAATTCGTAACTCCCCAGAACCTATCAATGACCAGAAATGAAGACTGCCTGGTCAGCTGTTACTTGGTGATCTTGATCACTTACCTATGCCTCAGTTTCCTCCTCAATGAAACAGATAATACCTACCAAAATAAGGCTGCTTCCAAGAGGTAAGCAAAAGGGAAATGCCTCCAACAGCACCTGGGGCCCAGTAAGCACCAGACAAATGGCCCTCATTGTTAGCAGGGGAAACAAGAGAAGGTTACAAGCACACACTGGACTAGAATTTGGTGTGGGGTCAATCAAACCTCACATACTGTGACCCACTTAAGGGAGTCTTGGGGGCTGCATCCAACAATCCTCCACCTCTAGGAAGGTTCTTTTTAATTTTTTATTTATTACTGATTTACAAAGTTGTTCATTATAGAAAAATTGTTCATTTCAGCAAAACTATGTTCCAACACCAATCCCACCACCAGTATCAACTTTCCCCCACACCCAGAGGTGTCTTACTTAACTCACCAACAGTAATACTCCAACGGAGACCTGCTAATAATGGTACTGCTCTGGTGAATCTGAGGTGCAGAATCTGCCCCAATCTTTTTTTTTTTTTCACCTGGTAAGCCACAGAGAGCTAAGAGTGGCAAGATATTAATCACAAGTTTGGAAAGGAATGTGTGGGGAGACAGAAGCCAAACCGCCCTTTTCCTGGGGCCCTGGAAATCAAACTAATCAGGAGCACAAAACAGACATGTGGGAGAAACCGAGTCAGGGGAGAGTGATCAGAACTAGAAGCTCACGGAGCATCTATTTCTTTAACTTTGTTTTGGAGTCCCACCGGGCTGTGCCCAGGGCTTGCTTCTGGATCAGTGCTCCCGGGTCATTCCTGTTGGTAATCATGGGACCACATGCGATAGCCGGTAATTAAACCGGGGTCCGTTTATGCAAGATCCTGAGCCACTGCACCATCTCTCCTGCTCTCACCGAGCATCTTTTTTGGTGGGTAGGGTCAGTGCTTAGAGATCAGTCCTGGAGGGGTTGGGGGGGGGGGGGTCCACATGTGGTGCAGTGGACCTAACCCGGATCCGCGCGCACACGGTAGGTGCTCTCCCCGCACTGCGCATTTGTAGTCGAGGGCGGAAAAAAGTGGGGCTTCGGCCTTCAGTGTTGGCTAATTGGAGAGGTACTTTTGACCTAGGTCAAAGTGGCATGTCTGGGGCGTGGCTCCCCCGTAAAGCTGTAAGTGTGGCCTCACCTGCCCCAGGAAGCAAGAAGGCACCACTCACGCATGCTGACCCGACCTCCACGAAGCGCAGAACTCAAAGCCCCGGGTCTGGGTCTTTCCCTCAAATCACTGCAGCCCGATCCTCCTCATTGTCCACTTGGGTAAAAGGTCAGCAGAGCGAGCTACGAAGGGGCGAGGCTGTCTCTCAGGCTCTTACCGCCGGCCCGAACTTTTCCTGCAGCGCCGCAAGCGCACGCTCCGGCTCGGCCTCCTCGGTGGAGAGCGGCCGGCGTGGCTCTGCTCTCCCGACCAGGGTCCCCAGGGGGGCGTTTCACGGATTCTAATTAAAACGGCCGGTAAATATCCAATACCCGCGCAAGCACGGAGTCCCACGCGCCGACGCGGCGACCACCCCGGCAGCGGTCCAGCTACGCGAGCCGAGGCGGCGGGCGGCCGCCATGGCAACGCGAGCCGAGGCGGCGGGCGGCCGCCATGGCAACGCGAGCCGCGCCGCGCCGCGCCCCGCCGCCCGCCTACGTGCGTGCGAGCGTGATGACGCCACAGGGCCGCGCCTCCCCGCGCCGGATTATGACGCGCGGCGCGGCGCGGCGCGGGCTCCGCGGTCTCGCGTGACCGCGGGGCGCAGTTTCCCGGCCTCGCAACAGCAGCAACGGCAGAGGCGGGCGGCCGAGGTCAAGATGGTGGCTCCGCGGGCGGGGGAGGCGGTGGAGGGAGGAGGAGCCACATCGTAACCCGCCGGAAACACCGACACCTAGAGGCCTCCTGGCCGCCGCCGCCGCCGCGGGCTCCAGCCGGGGAGACGCGGGCGGGCAGCGGGGCGGGCTGTGCGAGGGCGCCGAGCGGAGCGGGGGAGGGCGAGGGCGAGGGCGGGGGCGGAGCCGCCCGCCTCCGCCTCCGCCTCCGCCTCCGCGCCCGCCCCGGCCCCCGGCCCGCCGCGGCCCGCCCAGCGCCCGTGCGGCAGCGGCTGATGGCGGCGGCGGTGGGGCCCCCGCAACAGCAGGTGCGAATGGCCCCCCAGCAGGTCTGGGCGGCGCTGGAAGTGGCGCTCCGGGTGCCCTGCCTCTATGTCATCGACGCCATCTTCAACTCCTACTACGATCCCAGCCAGAGCCGCCTGTGCATCGGCCTCCAGGTTCTCCTCCGGCTCCTTGGTAAGGGCGGGGGCCCGGGCGCGCGGGACGCGGCGGCGGCCGCCGTGGTACCCGCCGGGCGCGCGGGGACGGGGGATGACATTGGTCTCGGCGTGCACGGCGGCGGCGCGGGTTGCTCGCTCTGCTCGGGGCGCCCCTGCCCGCCGGTGCCTTCCCCGCCGCGCGCCCCTGCGACAGCCTCGGCGGGGAGCGCGGGGAGGCGCGGGGGGAGGGGGGGGGGGAGGACCGACCCGGACCCGCCGCCGCCTCCTGCCCCGCCGTTCTCGCTCGGCGTGACCTTGGGCTTGGCGTGCCCAGGCCTGGACCTCAGTTTGTTCCCCCCTCTGCGAAATGCCCGGCGCGCTTCGGTGGTTCCTCCACGCCTCTGCGTGCAGCCCAGCCCCCTTGGCCAGGACGCGGGTACCGCTCGGGGACGGGCGCTCGCACTGGGCGCGCGTTCCAGGAGGGGGGCTTGGACGAGTGGGGTCCTGAAAACGTGGCCAGAAAGAAAGGGACGAGCCTTTTCTTCTTCGTCGTCGTCGTCCTCCTCGGAGCCTGCGGAGAGTCGCAAGTTCTCCCGGCCTTCCGGAGCTGGTTGCAGAGCATCTTCGAGATTGCTCGGCTCTTGCAGCAGCAGATGGAGGAAGATTTTTTTTTTTATGCGGGGGCGATTGCCCCAATGATTATTGGAGTAATTGAAATTTGGCAAGTTGTGTCCCATGAGGTCGGTTATTCTTGCGGCCGGCTCGTCGGAAGCTGGTGCTTTTGAAGTGTCGCACCATTGGTGAGATCTGTCATAAATTTTTCTGAACTCGCAACCATCTGTTGCTTCCTACCCCCTTCCACCTCCAAAGGGGTAATAAAGGTTGAGTTGTTGGCAATAAAAAACCAACATTTTACGTTTGCTTGGCACTTTTATTTTTGCAAGGCATTCTCACTGGTCGTCTAACAACCTCGGATGGGGGTGGGGGGATTCTCATTTCACAGATGTGGAAGCTAAGGGTCATAAAGGTTAGTGTGTGGAGCAACTCAGAAATGCCAGACTCTCAGAAGTCCTCCGACCACTGAGGGACTGGCGGGTCCTCATCGTCGCTGTGGTCCGGATAGAGAATGGCCGGGAACAGCCTGCTGGGTCTTACCACTAACATATGTGAAGGCCTGGGCTCCAGCGCGGGTCCTCAGGAACCCACCAGCTCCCGAGCCAATCGCCCTCTTGCACTGCAGAAGTGTATCACCCGCTATATTTGGGCAAAAACGGATTCACGCGTTCCTGCTGCCAGTCTTGTGGACGTGGTTCTGAATGCCCTTAGTGGCCTGTAACTGCAGCGCCTTCGGGAATCCGGTGGACCAGGTGCTTTGATAAAAGGCAGCGCTCTGGGGGGAACTTTGGCGAGGACTTTAGGAAACATTTTCTTTTATTTTTTAAATTGTGTTCTAAAAAAAATGAAACAAAGCATATTGGTATTTCCCTTGTATTCAATCCAGGCTTACAGTTTTTATAGTTACGACAAAGAAAGTGATCCCGGGCAAGTTCCTGCGCCTGTGCCTCCATTCTCATATCTTGATCTTTTTAAAGATGAACAATGATTGTATTTCCCCCATAAGGTCTTCAGGACAATAAATGAGATAGAATGTAAGCCCATAGAATAGTGTTCAGTGTGTAGTAAGGTCTGTGTTACTGTCTGTAGCTATTACTAAGTTTGTGTTTTAAACAAAATGTAATCAAATTACTATATTGTGTTACATTTTGGTTATTTGAAGGCATCAGCAAAACATTAATGCTGTTTACTTGAAGATTTTATTCCAGAATATTCTTTGGATGAACTATGAAAAATCACAAATTTCCAAATTTATCACCTGGTTGTTCTTTGCATTATGACATTGTAATTATGCTTTTTTTTTTTCACATTTGTGAGAAAGAATTTTTTTTTGGGGGGGCCCACACCCAGCAATGCTCATGGATTACTTCTGGCTCTGTACTCAGGAATCACTCCTGGCAGTGCTTGGGGATTCATATGGGATTGCTGGGGATTGACTTGGGTCTTTTGCATGCAAGGCAAGCCCCTTTACCTGCTGTACTATTTCTCCAGCCCTGAAAGATATATATTTAAACGGACCTAGTTTTAATGCTAAAACACCCTGAAATTTTTAAAAAGTACATATTTGAGGATCGTTCAATAAATTGTGTTATTGAAAGTGACAGGTTTTGGTGCAAAAGATAACAAAGGACAGTTGAAATTGTTTTACCTGGGTAGGGCTTTGTTGTTGTTTTTGTTTAATTGTAGATCTTTTACTATTTAATATATTTAAGAAGTCATAAATCTCACTTTTAAAAAAAGTTTGAAATGGTAATGAAATTTTCAGTGAAAAGGAATAATCTGAAGAATATCCTCCCTTCTGTTTACTACAAAAGTATACCTGTATTTTCTTTAGGTATCCAAGTAATATGATAATTTCAGGTCAGAAAACCTCATTTTGCACATCTAAATAAAGTCATATCACAGTATATATAGATTAGTCAAGTACATTAAATTATTATTAGACGGTGTTAAAACTAAAATTCATAAATTAGGACATTTATTAAATGACTATATAACAACTCATTAAAAATTGTACAAGTGTCAAATTAGGGGGAAAATATTTGTATCATTTTAACATCTTAGTAAGTTTTTATTGTGTCCATAAGAAGAAGATATACTCCCCCCAAAAGTGACCTAGGCTGAAGAGTTTACAATAAATGAAATGCAGGTGGTCAGAAACAAAACAGTCCCCAGCTCACTTGTAATGAAAGAAATGTGGTCAAAACAAAATTTTAACATATATTGGTGAAGAGTTTGAGTTTTTATTTCCCCCCGCTTTTTGAGTCAAACCCGCAATGCACAGGGGTTACTCCTGGCTGTGTGCTCAGGAATTACCTCTGGTGGTTTTCAGGGGACCATATGGGATGCTGGGAATTGAACCCCGGGTCGGCTGCATACAGGGCGAAAGCATACCCACTATGCTATAGCTCCAGCCCCAAGAGTTCAAGTTTTGTGTGAAAAATGATCAGCAGTTTTAGTAGCCTTGGGCTTCTGTATAAAGTCGGTGCTGTCAGCTGAAAATTAGGTGGATGTAAGATTTTGATTCATGATTTTGAGTTCTAAGAATTGGGTCTCTAAGTTGTAGTTTTACTTTTTTTTTTCTCTTAAATTTTTATTAGTGAAACACCATGAGGTACACTTGTAGACTTACAAATCTTTGTGCTTGGGTTTCAGTTATACAATGATCGAGTACCCATCCTTCCACCAGTGTCCATTCTCCACCACCACTGATCCCAGTATCCCTCCCACCCCCCATTCCCCTCATCCCACCCTACCTCTGCGACAGGGCATTCCCTTTTGTTATCTCTCTCTTTTTGAGTGCTGTGGTTTGCAAGAGACATTGAGTGGCAATCATGTTCGGTGTATAGTCTACTCTCATCACACATTTCCCATCCTGAGAGGAACCTCCCAACACCCTTTATTTGGTGCTCCCTTCTCTATCTGAGCTGCCTTTTCTCCTAGCGTGTGCGGCTGGCCTCAAATCCATGGAGTAATCCTCCTGGTACTTATCTCGGCTATTCTTGAGTGTTAGTCTCCTATTTTGTTACTTTATGTTCCCCAGATGAATGCAATCTTTCTATGTCTGTCCCTTTCGTTCTGACTCATTTCACTTAGCATGATACTTTTCATGTAGTATCACTTGTATATGAATTTCATGATTTCATCTTTTCTAACAGCTGCATAGTACTCCGTTGTGTAGTTCATTTAACCTGTCATCTGGTCTTGGGCACTCAGGTTTTTTCCAGATTCTACCTATTGTAAACAGTGCTGCAATGAACAAACAAGTGCAGATGTCACTTCGACTATACTTTTTTGCCTCTCTGGGATATATTCCCAGGAGTGGTATTGCTGGGTCAAATGGGAGCTCAATTTCTAATTTTTTGAGGATCGTCCATACTGTCTTCCTAAAGGGCTGAACCAGTCAGCATTCCCACCAGCAGTGAAGGAGTGTCCCTTTCTTGCCACATCCGTGCCAACACTGGTTGCTTTTGGTCTTTTGGATGTGGGCCAGTCTCTGTGGTGTGAAATGATATCTCATTGTGCTTTTGATCTGCATCTCCCTGATGATTAATGATATAGAGCATTTTCTCATGTGCCTTTTAGCCATTCGGATTTCTTCTTTGGGAAAGTTTCTGTTCATTCGTTGCCCCATTTTTTGATGGGGTTGGATGTTTTCTTCTTGTGGAGTTCAACCAGTACTTTGTATATCCTTGATATCAACCCCTTGTTGGACGTGTATTGGGCGAATATCCTTTCCCATTCTGTAGACTGTCTTTGTATTTTGGTCATTGTTTGTTTGGAGGCGCAGAAGCTTCTTAGTTATAGTTTTACTTTAGTACTGAGAGTCCAGCAAGCTACCTAGAGTATCCTGCCTGCATGGCAGAGCCTGGCAAGCTCTCAGGGGCGTATTCAATATGCCAAAAACAGTAACAAGTCTCACAATAGAGACGTTACTGGTGCCCGCTCGAGCAAATCGATGAACAACGGGAGGACAGTGATTCAGTGATAGTGAGAGTATGGTCAAGAATATTCATTTCACAAAGTCATGAAATTTACATACAAGTGGTACTACATGGAAAGTATCATGTTCAGCGAATTGACTCAGAAAGAAAGGGATAGACATAGAAAGATTTGCATTCATCTAGGGAACATAAAGTAACAAAATAGATTAACACCCAAGAATGGCCGAGATTAGTACCAGGAATTTTACTCCATGGCTTGGAGGCCAACCACACATGCTAGGGGAAAAGGGAGCTCAGATAGAGAAGGGAGCACCAAATAAAGGGTGTTGGGAGGATCCTCCCAGGATGGGAGAAGCATGCCGAAAGTGGATTATAGACTATAGACCAAACATGATTGTCACCCATTGCCTCTTTTGCAAACCACAACACCCAATAAGAGAGAACAAAAGGGAATGCCCTGCCACAGAGGCTGGGGGGG